CTGGTATTACTTCATCAGTTTTGTAAACATTTTGAAAGAATTTATATTTTTTACTGTGCTAGCAATCATCTTTTTCTTGACACCAAGATCAGTGGAATCAGCTGCAGGTTTATTTTTTGCCATCAATTTGATCTGATCAAGTTGAAATTTAATACATTTTGTTCAATCCCACGAGCTTGAGTGGAATTTCATTTGAATCCCTGGTATCGATTAGCAGAGTGACCTTGAATGATTCTTCCTATACTTTCAGTGAGAAGATGTTATGTTTTATGCGAAGGGTTGTCCATTTATTTCTGTCTACTAAGAAATTCCATGGAAACTTTGCTGACACATTCAAATATGTCCGTGATTGTACAGTATAACCTTGCGGAAAATTGAGCCGAATCTGGAGCTTTAAAAAAAATTCGGATGAATTAAAAATGAGCAGATTGTGAAGAAACATTTTTTTTTCGCATTCAGAAAAACTTGATTCAAATAGACACATATGCAGCAAAAAGAAAAGAAAAAGAAACAACCATTTTCAGCGAATTTGCGAAAAGCTCACGGCTGAATATTCGTGTAAGCCAACAAGAAACCACTGTAAGTGTTTGAAGTGTCGCTTGTGAATTGCACCGTGATCTCGTTGCTCTTGCTGTAGATGATGTTTGTCATCAGGTGTTCAATGTTCCTGAAATTTCAAAACAAGACGAAAACTCGTTTTTTTCGAAACTACTTCGTGATATGATAAGAAAAAAAAAAAGACGCACTGGAGTAAAACTCCGCCGTCAAAGACCCTGAGCTGGTCGTAAATCGGCTCCAACCGCAGTCGCATCAACCTTAGTGCAATTTTGGATCCTTCTGGAGCGACTAAGTCGAAGGTTATCCGTTCGCCGTTTGCGTAATTGTTCGGATGGTTCGGCGACGAAAGGAAACCGTAGGTTTTTGAGGCACCCGGTTGCACTTTGGTGTGCAATTGAGTCACGTCCCCGTTGGTCGTGATTTCTCCGGTTTCGGTGTTGATTCTGATCACTTCCGTGAAACTCGGTTCATCAGCGTCTGAGCTGATTTTGTCTTCCACCTCAATAATCTCATCTGAGAAAATTAAAAATTGAGGTTTCTCGATGTTCACGCGGGAATTATCATGAAATACTCATTGCAGGCGGATGAAATCTTTTTGCAAAATTTTCATCATTTTTGGAGCAACAATCAGGAATAAATCGAGGATATTATTTGATATTGACCCACGTAAAAAGTTATAACAAACACGAAGAAAATCTTTCAATTGTTGAGTGATAATCTTTCAATTTAGACGATAATTTCTCTAAAGATTTGTCACTTTTTGTTAAATTTTGAGGATATAAATACGAAAGGTTTCTCAACAGTCTAGCTGAAAATCACTGAGAAATTTCTCACAGGCCAATGAAATCTAAGATTAATTTTAAATGATTTTCACGAAAACAGATACAATTCAGCTATCGGAAATGATTCGTATATGATTTTAACTTCCGGAAGCGTTGGATATAACGACAAAAGTCTGCATTCAAATTTGCCCGCAGTTAAATTGCGATGATCCTCCATCTTGAGGCAACAGTTTTCCCCAAAATTTTGAAATAGTTTATCGGACATTGTTTTCTCATCCAGAACACTTCATTAAAGAAAGGAGTGTTGAAAAATACCATACATAAATCACAACAAAATGCTCTTTCAGTTAATTGAGCATTTTGTCTCTTTGCCAAAATATTGTGCCAGCAAGATTCGCCGAGTTCAAACTATTCAGACATTAAAAGAAACTAATATATTTTTTCTATCTTCCAACGTCATTAGAATCGTTGCCGAAAGATGAACCAAAATTGTTCGACAATCCTTAAATATTCTGAATTATCGGAAAATTTTGCTTACTGACTATATTTATTGTGAGCTATTTTTCTTTTTAAACCATTTAAATAAAAACGTTTTTATGGTACGTAATTGTATTCAAATGTGCGTGCTGGTGGTATCAATGCAATTGCAATAATAAACTCGGTATCATTCGAAAGATCATTTAATGAGCTTTAATTTGATTTTTTTTATAAGCCCAGTGAGTTCAGCTCTTTAGTGGAAACGGCACTTGAAAGATTAGTTCCACTTATTTTTTGCTCACCCTTATTAATCCAAGTACAGTTCATTAATATTGAACAATCTCACCTTTTCCATTGTTTGGCAATTCAGCAGCATATGCAGCCAAGTAACCGAACTCGGTTTCAGTTGCGTCGCTCTGCAGGAAAACCGTGGCATTGTTTGCAGCGAAAAGCTGCGGAATGAACAAGTCCAGTGTTCCTGCAAACCTTTTCAAAATTAACAAAAAATGATCATTCGAAAATATTTAAAGAATGGTATTTTCACGAGCGATAAACTTGACCAGGAGGTGCAAAAATAACATTCTGTGTTATTGAGCTGGAAACGAAGCAATTCTTCAAATACTATTCTTTACTGTACAACGAATTTTTTCAAATGTCTCGACTTGAGTGTCATGGAAAAAATTCTGAAAATAAAGCGATAACACATGTTCCCGATTCATTAAAATATATTTTATTTTCATGATTTTCCGTACTTACTACCATATAATCTTTAGGGTTCATGTATTTTCCTCGAAATTTTCTGAAAATATAAAAATAATTTGTGGCAAAATTTTCCTCAAAAGTAAAATAAATGTCGGATTGATAAATTCATCTGACTTTGCTTCTGGAATAACATTCTATTGCCACTCGGGAATCTTTGGTAAACTTTTGTGATGATTTGATATTCTGAAGGAATCTCCTGGGACAATACCTCAGTTTCTCGAAAGAATCTCAATACAATTCGTTTAGATCGAAGGAATTTTCTTTAGGTCTGTATAGAAGTTCGTTGTAATTAGATTCCACTATATCCATCCTCACGAAATTCCCCAAAAATTTCGAAAAAAGTCACACTTCAATAACAAGGTATGGAAAACTCACTGGTCTATGAATTCCGCGTTTTCGTCTCGCAGTTCAACTTGTACAGAGTCTCCATTTGATGTTCGGAGCTGAAGAAACCCTAGCCTCACACTGTCAATGACACTGCTTT